ATATATGTGTTGTTTCAGAACCAATGACATCCATTTCTTAGTACTGTGAATGCCAAGAGGAAGAAGAAAACATTGATGGCCCTGCTTCATTTTGTTGTCTTTTTCAATGTTTTTAATGATTTCTTTTAGAGAGAGGAAGGGAGAGGGAGAGAGAGAGAGAGAGAAACATTGATGTGAGAGAGAAACATTGATTGGTTGCCTCCAGTACACATCCCTTCAGACTGGGGACTGAACCCACAATCTGGCATGTGCCCTGACTGGGAATCAAGTGGATAGAGCATTGGTCCATGGACTAAAGGGTCCTGGATTCAATTCTGATCAAGGGCACGTACAGGAGGCAACCAATTGATGTGTCTCTCTCACATGCATATTTTTCTCTCTCTCTCTTTCCTCCTGATGCTCTCTAAAAAATCAATGGAAAATATCCTCATGAAAATGTATAACTCATAGTCATAAACCTAAAAAGAAACACACACAGCCTCTTTGAAGAAAACTCTAAAATTCTACTGTGGAGCATTTAAAAATGCTGTAATAAATGTGGAGAAATGCCTATTCCTGGGTGGAAAGAATCAATCATATAATTTATCAGTTCTCTACCCAAAAGGAATTATTACGAAATTCTAGGAGTTTGGGATTTTTAATAATTGATGTGTTGACCAAATTATTTTTTAAAATTCCTGTTAAAATAAATGTGTAAGGTCATCAACAAAATCTGGAAAAAAATAATGAGAAGGCTTTTCCCCACCAATTTTAAAACATCACACATATACAGGGGGTGGGGAAAAGAAAGTCTACAGTTGTGAGTGGCATCCTTTTTAGTTAGTAAAACTATTGTAATAATCATAACCTGCATGTCCTTTTCCATCCAGGAATAGGTATTTCTCCACATTTATTAGAGTAATAAATGCCCCATATTTTAAAAAAATATATTTTTATGAAGGGAAAGGAGATAGAGATAGAAACATCAGTGATGAGAGAGAATCATTGATTGGCTGCCTCCTGTACATCCCCGACTGGGGATCGAGCCCAAAACATGGGCATGTGCCCTTGACTAGAATCGAACCTGGGGCCCCTCAGTCCTCAGGCATATGCTCTATCCTCTACCAGTGTTTCCCAAAGTGTGGTACGCATTCCCCCGGGGGGACGGGAAGAGTTTGGTGCGGGTACTCCTTGCACCGGAGTTTGGTGGGGATATGCACTGCACCGTGTTTAGCTGCGCCTAATTCTATAATACGTTCTCATGAGTACGAGGGGTACTCAGCGTTACGAAAATTATAGAAGGTGTACACATATGTCAAAAGTTTGGGAAGCCAGCCAGGGCTATGCCCCATATTTTTAATGCCCCGCAGTAGAGTATTAGAGGTGTTAGGTTTGTGACAATGCGTTATACATTTTCACGAATGGGATTGCTTCCCATTATCTTTCCTAAGTGGCAGATGTTTATTGAAGGGTATGAACAAGGTTGGGAGTGGCTGTTCCAGGGATGGTGGGAAGAGGTGGCTCGCTGGAGGAGGTGGGAATGGCCAGAGGAAAGTGTGAGTGCTGCATCCCGGCACCACCACCACTACATGGTCCACCAGCACTAGCACTTGCTGAAAGTGTCTCCAAGGCTGGGCCTGTGTCCGCAAACCTTGGCCTAGGGAAGAGGAGATGGGCACCAACACCCAGCCCTTAGAAGCACCAGCTCTCCTCTTCTCCCTTTCACTGGATTCCCCCTGTTCCCCTCCTCCCCACCCAGAAGTATTCAATCCAATTAGCCTTACTTCTAAGGTGTCTTAAAGACAGGACAGGCCCCAGGGTGCTCCCGGTGCTGGCGCTCCCAGGGCTCATCAGGAAGCTGGCCCAGCAGGCCCTGCTCTCGGCAGGACTCCGAGGCTCTGTGCCCTAGGTCCCAGCTCTTCCACCTGTGCTGGGTGAGAACCAGACCCTGACTGTGCCTGTGCCAGGCCTGCAGGGGGCAGGAGGGAGCGCAGAGGGCAGCCCTTGTTATGTTCCTAGCATGGTGCCAGGCACTGGGGGAAGCTGCAGGCACTATCCCTAAGACTGGAGTTACAGCTGGAATGTATTTCCAGGTTTTGCTACCATGTTAGTGGCCGAGTGTTTCAAGCCATGTCAGTTCTAGAGTGTGTACTGTTGACACACCACCTCCACCACCGCCACTGCCCACATTTGTACTGGGTACCCCGCTTCCTGTCCACCGCTCAGTGGGCCAGCTTGTCTCAGAACACAGATGCTCTGTTGGCCAGTGGAGCTATGGAGACTCCCTTATAGGGACACTGCGAGTATGAATGAGTGGCCTCTAGGTTTTTTTGTTTGTTTTGTTTTTGGTGCAGAAATCTAGTCTTGCAGAAGCGGGGCAGATGAATAGTAAGAAGCAGAGTAAGAGCTGGTCACAGGAGGTGCCTTTTAAGTATTCTCAAAATAAACTTCTATTTCACTGAGTTTCCGTTACTGGCTTTCTAATCCCAGGAACCAAGCAAAAGCATCCCTTACCGCCATACCTATTGCCCGACCTAAGCTCTGAGGGGCTAGGGAAACTCTTAATTAAAAACTAGACCTTTGTGATAGAACAGAACAGGCTCCCAAACTTCCAGCAGCCCTGCTCTCGGCTGGTGAAACCCCCATGTGCCTGCCACACTTACGTACATCTCCTATCAACCATTCCCACCAACCGTCCTTGCAGTTGTTACTATGGTTTCATAGTGAGAAAACTCACTATGCCTGGGTTGCAGACTCGATCCCCAGAAGGGCTCATTGACAGAGGCCAACACACCCCGGTAAGAGGATGGACTTTTGAATAAAGGCAGGCTCAGGTTTGAATCTGGCCCTACCCCCTTAAGGATTTATGGCTTTGTTTGTTTTTTCAAGTTTCCTTACAAACTTCAGTTTCCTTAGCTATGAAACAGGGAAAAGAATGCCTACCGTACAGGGAGTGGTGTCAGTGAAATGGCTGCAGTTCTAGTAAAGCCCCAAGTGACAGAGCTGGGTGTCACTTCCAGGTCCATATGGCTTCAGCGCCCTGGCTCAGCATGGGCCCTTGGACATGGACAGATTCCTCCCTCAAGGCAACACAAGAGGAAGGCAATGAGGAAGCAAGGCATTTTAGCTAAGGCTGTTTCTTGCTCCATAAATCTGAGCTGAAATGAACATTTGTGTGTCCTGGACCAATGACTGATTATACAACGTTGGTTTATATTGTAAAATGTTAGGGAAAGGGAGAAATGGAAATCAGCCTTACTCGTGATTCTCCCTGAACCCATCAGACAGAAACAGGAATCTGAAGTGGATCTCGAAGTAGCGGTGCACCCAATCAGACCCATATGGGAAATCTAATAATGATGCTCACACCTGTAAGCACATTTACATGTAGTTTTAAGGCATTCATGCATGTCTCATCACATATTAACCTTGATCCAATCACTTAGCCTGAATTTCATTTTTATCTTTGAATAATCTGGTACTGTCTTCCTATTAGTATTGCTATGAAGAAAATTGAAAATTACTGCAAAAGCACTTTTTAAATTGTAAAATTGATGATTAAAATTACTTTATTATTAAATGCTTAGAAAAAACACTAGTCACCAAGCCAGTGTGCTCAGTGGTTAAGCATCCAATGAACCAGATCAGGGTTTGATTCCTGGTCAGGGCATATGCCTGGGTTGCAGACTCGATCCCCAGTAGGGGACCTGCAGGAGGCAGCCAATCAATGATGCTCTCTCATTATTGATGTTTTTCTCTCTCCCTTCCTCCAAAATCAATAAACATATAATTAAAAAAAAAAAAAAAAAAAAAAACTCCAAGTATTCACAATCTTGAGTCAATAGCTCAGTTGGGCAATACAGTGCAGGGCATGAGCAAGTCCACCTGAGCTCCATTTCCAGCTCTATTCCTGACTAGGGCTGCATGCACCCATCCATGCTTCCCCTGGGGTAATGCTATAGTGGATATGGTCTTAGAATGGGTCTTTAAGTATATCTGTAAAAGGCTCAATGTTTGGTCCCAAACTTCCTATTTGTGGAAATCACAGCCTGGGTTTATGGAAAACTTCATTTCCTAGCTAAATAGACATCTCCACTTTCCATGTACACATACTCCCAAGATAACAAATAAGCAAAATCCAATTTCCAAAGGTTTTTTAAAAACATTTTATTTCAGAGAGGAGGAAAGAGGTAAGAATCATTGATGGCTGGCTGCCTCCTGCACAGCCCCTACTGAGGATAGAGTCTGCAACCTGGGCATAGGCACTGACTGGGAATTAAACCCTGACCTCCTGGCTCATGGGTTGACACTCAATCACTGACCCACACCGGCCAGGTTCCAAAAGTTGCATGTATTGTTTGATATTACAATTTCCCTAGGCTTTGCATCTAACGTGTAGCAGTTTGCAGACTCTATCTCATTTGACAGAAACATGGTAGCTGAGACTCCAGGAGAAAAGGTGAGTGCCACATGCTTCCTCGGCAAGCTTCAGGAGCTCTCGACTTGGGCCAGGGAGCTTCTGGGAAAGTGAGATACCCTGTGCTCCCTCACACAAATCAGGTGCTTCCTAGTTGATGACACATTTCCATTGTATCATATGGGCCAATGCCCTTTAATCTTTCATCATACTTAAAACACAGATAGATATCATGAATCAACTGTCCTTAAATCCATGTTAGAGAAATGAGAAAGTTAATGTACAAAGAAATACAATATACAAAAGAAAATATGCAATGTTTCATAAGCTGCATACATTTCAACAAAAAAGTTTGGGGACATGAATTTGGTTACTTAGAGCATTAAAAACATTTATTAAGCAGATTACCTTTGGAAGAGTACCTGACTAGAAACATTCAGAGACTGGAAACTGGTTTAAAACAATTCCCAAGTCCTTATCAAATAAGGTATCAATCAAGGAAAAGATACTTTGGAACTTAAAATAAGCAAAGCCTATTCACAATTTAAATGTAGGGGGAAAGGAAAAAAAAACAAAACTAACCAAAGTGAAGTCAGAATGATCATTTACATTTTATAGTCTTTAATTAAGCACATAAAACTGTACTATTTAATATATTTCTCCATGAACTTTTTGTGAAATTCAGATCGCAGCGTATCATTAACAAATCTTTTGTCTTTCTTCTGGTCATCCACACCTTTTGCACAGTTCTTGAAAACAACATCATCATCCCACCTGAAGAAAAAGAAAATAAAATGTTCTTATAATGCTTGTATGAGAAAATACAGCCTGTGAATTGCAAAGCTTAGTCATTACACAGAAAAATGTCCCACACGTATTGAGGCAGCAATTACATAAGCCCCAAAGACAGAATGTGATCTTGCTCTATCACAGCAGAAGGGCAATTCCTATTAGAACATATAAAACATTCTTCTCACTTCACCAGTACAGATGCTTTGACTAACTCAGGAAGCAGAAATACAGCCGAAACCGGTTTGGCTCAGTGGATAGAGCGTCAGCCTGCGGACTGAAGGGTCCCGTGTTCAATTCTGGTCAGGGGCATGTGCCTTGGTTGCGGGCACATCCCCAGTGGGGGGAGTGCAGGAGGCAGCTGACCAATGATTCTCTCTCATTGATGTTTCTGACTCCCTGTCCATCTCTCTTCCTCTCTGTAAAAAAAAAAATCAATAAAATACATATATTTAAAAAAACAGAAATATATAAACTTTAACTGCATAAATATCAAATGTTTTCAGTTCTAAAGCAAAGAGGCAGTACCTGGAACCCAACTCTAGTCGATAACTGACCAATTTACTATAGTTCAGATTATTCGGTTTTAAGTATTTTATCTACTCGTTCATCAGTTAGCATTTAGTAATCATCCACTGTAGTATTTGTATTTTAGGACAACAAAAGGAGAAGTACTGGCATATAACAATAACACTCATATATTGTCACACATCTGCATTAATCATGAAGACACAGAAGTTGAAGAGCTTAGGGCAGGACTGTGGTTGGATTCTTCTGGTTGAGTTTCATAATGCACAAACAAAAAGAACACCCATGAATGGGCTACAAAATAATGTTTTATAGAAAACCAAGAATGTAATTTCAAAATGTCATCTAGCCTATAAAACAAAATCCACTCTGTAATATATATACTCTAACAAATACATATAAAATGGAAGCCCATGCAATGTGTTTGTATGCACAAGTTGCACGCCAGAAGACACTGTACATGGAAAATAAGCAAAGGCATCTGTCAGTAAACTCATCATGGTGCATGACACAGGTGAGTGAAAAGCTGAGCAGAGCTGGGTCAACTGTTGCAGTTGCCACACAATTCCATCTGGATCTAAACAAGCAGGAGAACCAAGTAGAGTTTAAGATCAATATATTTGATGTAGTCTTTCCTCTATCCACCTTCCCAACTCATTCCCAAAAGGCTTTTAGCATCCTTCTCAACATCAACCTGCTCTCCCATGTTGCTAAACCCAATGGCCACTTTCCAGCACTCATTTTACTTGCCCTGTCATCATTACTTGACCTATCCCTCTCCTCTTTTAGAAAGCAAGCTTTGACTGCCCGGCTTCCAAGACACTTACCAATCTCTTTTGCTTCGCTTCCTTCCTCACTTCTTCTTAGCCTGTTTTTTTGTTTGTTTGTTTTTCCCCATTTTTTCTTTTAATCAATATTTACTGGGCACATAGTATGTACTGGGTACCCAGTACGTTCCAGGTATTGATGGTTAACCACCTATTTACTCTCTAAACATTATTCTGTGCTCAGTCCTCTGACTTCTCCCTCTAGCTGTGCTCATTCTCTAGGTGACCTCATCCAGTCTTGGTGGCTTTGGAAAACTTCAGTAGGATGATAGCTCCCAAATTTATTGTTTCTAGCCTGGATTCACTCCATAACCACTCGTCAAACTACCTAATTCAACATCTCCTCATAGATTTATATAACATTCTGAACTTGACATCTTGTATCTGTCACCTCCCTCAAGTATTTTTATTTACATTCTTCCCCATATCTATCCTTTAATGTTCAGCTCAAATACCTTAAGAGTCTGACCTCTGCTGAAATGTCAGCTGCCAGGCAATTACTGCCCTCAACCAATGCTTTGCATTTTAAGGAGTTGTTTTTACTATAAATGAGTTGGGAAGCTATGGGATGGCCCAAAACAGGAGACTATGATCTTTCATTTTAAAAGGACCACAACACTGCTGTTAGGAAAAAACTGGGGGTGGGGAAGGAGAGTATGAGAGCGTAAACAGACCAGTGAGGGCCCTGCATCACTCCGGATTGGAGGTGGGAGCAGTGGAGCTGGTGAGAAATCAGATAGGTGTGAAAGCTAAGCCTATAGGGTTCCTTGATCACCTTATACAAAATAACAATCAAGCTTCCTCTCACTCAGCATTTCTTATAAACGATTCTATTTTATTTGCCTATGTATCACTATCTCAAGTACTATATTCAGTTATTATTGTTTTGCTTCTGTTAAGGGTGGTAGTGATTATTTGCTTAATAATGGTTTTCCTATGTAGCAGATAACTTAAAAAAATTTTTTTTAATTGACTTTAGAGAGAGGAAGAGGGGATGGAGAGGGAGGGAGGGACAGAGAGAATATAAATCATCAGTTTGTTGTTCCACTTTAATTATGCATTCATTGGTTGCTTCTAGTATATACCCTGATCGAGGATCAACCCACAGCCTAAGTGGCTTACCAGGATGACACTCAAACCAGCTGAGCTACTTGGACAGGGCTATATTCAGTATTTATTGTTAAAAATCTCTTCCTCTTTCGCCTTCTACTTCACCCCTCCAAACACGCACACTATACAGAAGAGTAAACATGGTAGGCCTAAAACTATCCTTAGAAAGGTGCCGCTTGCAAGACTGGCCCTAAGCTAGCATTTGGGAACCTGGACTCCAAGAATCTTCTATCACTGTGCCCAGACTCTTTGTATAAACAATGTGGTTTATGTGGAACACCTGTTTCCCTTCTGGAAGTCTGAATTTGGGTATGTGGTAGGCAGAGGTCACCTTTATGACTAGTCCCCCATACTCTTGGGCATGGAGTCTCCAAAGGGCTTCCCTGGGCAGAACCATCGCACATTTTCATTGCCAGGGGAAAGGGTGTGCTGTGTGTGGCCCTCATGGAAGAGACAGAGCACCTGGATTCCTTTTCCCCTTATGATCTGGCTGTGTAACTTTACTATGTTTGTCATGAATACAACTACTATAAGCTGAGTCCCGAGTCCTTCTAGTGAGTCTCCGAATGTGAAGGGTGGACTTGGAACCCTTGACACATATAGCTAAAATGTAAACTTCATAGGATGAAAGGCTCAGTGCACTGCTCCATCTCTAATGCTTACCATAGTAGCTGGTTACTGTAAATATCTATGGAAAATATATTATTTCCTTTCATTCTCCTTCTCCCATTATTCCAAAATCGGACACAGATGATTATCAGTGAAAAGTGTGATTTTAAAAGCTTTACAGTTTGCTATAAAACCCTTATGTGTGTATGTACTTTCAAATGATTACTGTATATAGTACCTTCTTTTAACTTTGAAGTTGGCCTGAGGCTGGGATGGGCCAGTGAGATTAAGGAGAGGGTTTCCACTCAGAATGTTTTCCATACGAATCCTTTCTTCTTCAGCTTTTTGTTCTTGTTCCTGTCAAAGACAGGGGAAGATTCATATTTACTTATAGTAACTTCAGGGCCAATCTTATACAACTCATATAGTAAAAGACTGTTAGGGATAAGAATTAAAGTAGTGTTGTTTTTTGTTTGTTTTCAAGACATACCAGAAAGTTTTCCTTTTCAAAATAAAATCAATATTTTTATTATGTTTCATACATGCATCATTCATTACTGTCTTCTGACTCTAAAACTCTTCAGATGCATACTTAAATCTTTCTTTTTTGAAGTAATCACAAAATTGCTTATTTTAAGAGAGTAGACCACTAAACATCCTAATGATTCAAGTATACTAGCCTGGCTGGTGTGGCTCAGTGATTGAGTGTCTAGGAGGTCACCATTTGATTCCTGGTCAGGGAACTTGCCCAGGTTTTAGGCTCCATTCTCAGTTAGGCGGCTTGCAGGAGTAGCCAAGAAATGATTCTTTCTCATCATTGATGTTTCTATCTCTCTCTCTCCCTCTCTAAAATTAAAAATATATTTTAAAATGCATGTATATTTTATTAAATATATTTTATTGATTTTTTACAGAGAGGAAGTGAGAGGGACAGAGTTAGAAACATCAATGAGATTGAAACACCGATCAGCTGCCTCCTGCACACTCCTTAGTGGGGATGTGCCTGCAACCAAGGCACACCCCCCGACTGGAATCGAATCATGGACCCTTCAGTCTGCAGGCCGACCCTCCATCCACTGGGCCAAACCGGTTAGGGCAAATGCATGTATATTTTAAATATATATATACACTAGACATAAAAGACATTGAGCAAAGCTATTATCTCAATTTTAAAAGACTATACATAACTGAATATAAATATTTTGTTTTGCATTACTAACAATGTAAACATGAATTTCTAAAATTGTTGACACGTTTTATTAACCAAAAAGTATCTCCTAAAATAAGACAAAGCTATCAAAATTATATTGTTAACATGCATTTCTACAAATTTACCTGAAGCTTATCATTTTGTCCTTGACTTGTTACTTTATATTTTTATACCTCTAATACCTTACCAGTTACAAGCTTATCTTTCTTCACTCATATTTTAGCATGAACTTCTTTAAAATCAAACCCCCCTCAGTTTCATTCTTAAAATTAGTTAGATAAAATGTCTAAAAATCCATAACCATAACTTCTAGACCTGCCTGATTCCATGCTATCTTAACCCAAAGATAAATCCCAATTTGCCGTGTCGTGGGTGATAAATTAATAACTTCATCAGGCATGGATAAAAAGACTTTCTGGAAGTCTATTTAAAAAATAAACCTAGGTTGCCCTGGCCGGTTTGCTCAGTGGTTAAAATATTGTTGGCTTGTAGTCCAGGATTCAATTCCTGATCAAGGGCATGTACTGTGTTTTAGACTCGATCTCTGGCCCTCATTGGAGCACATGTAGGAGGCAACCAATCAATGTGTTTCTCTCCCATCTGTTTCTCTCTTTCTCCCTCTCCCTCCCCGCTCTGCTTTCCACTCTCTCTAAAAAAAAAAATGGAAAAAATATCCTCAGGTGAGAATTAACAGCAACAAAATAAATAAATAAAACTTATGTTAAACCTCCTGGAAAAAATAACCTGATTTTCAGTACAGGGTGATACTTCATTTTTTAAAAAAATAATATATTTTATTGATTTTACACAGAGAGGAATTGAGAGGGATAGAGGATTAGAAACATCGATGAGAGAGATACATTGACCAGCTGCCTCTTGCACACCCCCCACTGGGGATGTGCCCGAACCAAGGTACGTGCCCTTGACCGGAATTGAACCTGGAACCTTTCAGTCCGCAGGCCGACGCTCTATCCACTGAGCCAAACCGGTTTCGGTGATACTTCATTTTTTTATTTTATTTTATTAAATTTATTGGGGTGGTATGGGTTAATAGAATTATACAGGTTTCAGGTGCACAATTCTACAACATATCATCTGTACACTGAATTGTGTGTTCACCACCCCGAAGTTCAGTTTCTGTCATCACCATCTATCTCCCCTATACCCTCCCTCTCCACCCACCTCTACAATCACACTTGTCCATGGTCGTCTTCTTTTATTTGCTAAATCCCTCTACGTCCCTCCCCTTCCAATTCCCCCAACATTCAACTGTGAACACTGGATTTCATTTTCTTATGAGGTCAAATAACTGAAAGGCGGTAAAATGCAATTTTCAGGGGGAAAGAATAATTTAGGCCATTGCTCAGATCTTTAATAAAGTCAGGAACATCCATATATATTAAGAACAGATAGCTTTCTAAAACTATGTATTTATATTTTAACAAATTATATTAATGTTGAAATTTAAGATTACTCTGAGATGCTAGGAAAATAGGAGCTCAAGTATACAATGTATCCGAACCTATGCCAATGTGTGGGATGTAATAAGGTCCTGGCCATTCTGTGTTTGGATTATATTTCCTTTGGAGTTACTGGCTGGTTGCTACACACAGCCCTGGAAAAAAAGATGCCAACTCTTTCCATATTCAAGTACCAGGCACACTATGGGGATAACATCCAAACCACCCTGTTTTTTAAATAAAAAATTATTTGAACAGTCACATTATTAATTTATGTCCTGTCTGTGGTTGCTTGTGCTACAACAGGCAGAGCTGAACAGTCGTGACAGGAGCCATGTTGCCCACAAGCCCAAAGTAGTTATAATCTGGCCCTTTATAGAAAGCTTTCCAACTCTTGATATGGGCAGACTGGTTTGAAATGTTCTTTTAGGACACACAAAAGCAACCACTAGAAAGCCAGGCCAACAGGAAACAAAAACTCAGTCAACTCCAAGAAACACCAACACATTTTTGTACAGAGACCAGATGAACCTCACAAAATTACAAGATCTCCTGAAATGTTTATCTTCCTTAAAGGTTAGCCAAAGTATTTAAATTGCTCATCTCTCTATGCATTCAGAACAATTGCCCTCTAGTGGTGTACAAGTGATTTTAGAAATGTCTGTTCTTAAATTCTTTGATTTCTACAATAGATGTAAAAATTATAAGCTATTATAGAAGTTATGCTATTCTATGGCAAACTCTGATAATTGAATAGTAAAATATTTTTCTTCTTCCAGACTGAATTCTAGCAGTCCTCAAAGCCTATCCCAAACTTGATCTCTTTTCTAATGGCCTTTCTGTTAACTCTACAATCTCCCTAGATTCCAAGCATTCTCCTATGCCAGTCTTTTCCCTAAGTCTTCTTCCTCTTTTTTAAAACAGAACAAATTTTGGCTCACATGAAATCTTACCCACATGCCACAGAACAGCTGCTCTGTTCTGCTTAAAAGGGCAGACAGTTATCTCTACTTGGACATCTCATAATGTACCAAGTATCCAATTCAACATGTTCTGAACAGAACTCATCATCTCTTTTCTCTCTACCTCCCTTCTCTATCACCTTTCTTTTCTCTCTGCCCATCCTTCTGTATTCCGTTCCTGAATGGCACCAACATATAATCTACCCAGAAAATGGGGTCATCTTTATTGCCACAGCTGATCAGTCAATTTATTTGGTCAATCCTACCTCCTTGATAGCTCCTATTAGCATCTATTTACTTTTTTCAATTCCAACTCCTATTAAGCACAATTATCATAACTGCATGTGAGGATTATTGGAATAGCTTCTTCCATACTTTTGCCAAAATAATCTTTCTAAAATGCCTTATCTCACCAATCTCCTGTTAAAACTAACTAGCTGCTCCTATTCTTCCAAACAGAGTCCAGCCGAGACCGGTTTGGCTCAATGGATAGAGCGTCGGCTTGGGGACTGAAGGGACCAGGGTTCGATTCCGGTCAAGGGCATGTACCTTGGTTGCGGGCATATCCCCAGTAGGGGGTGTGCAAGAGGCAGCTGATCGATGACTCTCTCATCGATGTTTCTAGCTTTCTATCTCTCTCCCTTTTCTCTGTACAAAATCAATATATATATGTATATATATATTGTGTGTGTATATATATATATATATATATATATATTTGAAAAAGATGAAAAGAGTCCAAATTCCTTTACCATTGGTTTATAATATTTTTTAAAACTGATTTCAGAGGAAGGGAGAGGAAGAGATAGAAACATTAATGATGAAAGAAAATTACTGATCAGCTGCCTCCAGCACGCACCCCAGGGGACCCAGCCCACAAGCCAGGCATGTGCCCTGACCAGGAATCTAACCATGACCTCCTGGTTCATAGATCGAAGTTCAACCACTGAGCCATGCTGGCCAAGCTCTCTAATGCTTTGACCTGTTCTTGCCTCCAATTTCATCTATTTTTATTACTATGTGTCTTATTTAATTACAATTGTCTTTGAGTTAGATATTCTTTTCTCCTTTTGCGTAAATTGAAAGACTTTGGAGACTCAGAGAAGTTAGGTAAAATGCCCTAAATTACATAAAATCTATTGACAGACTGCTTCAACAAGTGCCTAGAAAGTAGGCTGTGGCAGGAGACAGGGGAGACAAGATTATATCATTATATTCATGAGTTCTTTGTAGGCCATGACTAAATCATTTTTTATTCTTCTGACACTTAATAATCATTAACTAAATGTCAGTTGAGCAAAGAAACAAATAAGTGGATAAAGAGCAAGATGAGTAATTATTATTAAGCATGCCTGAACTATTTGGAAAGAATTTCCCACATTACCAAGTGACTTAAAATGCCATAAAAATTTATCATATTTATAGATCTACAGGTGCCATATCTAGACTTACCAAGGACAATTTCCAATATAAGATTTTACTTGAAATTAAAAATATTTCTACTTTAGTTTATGAAAGAAGATGTAAATATTTAACACTTTCATTTTACCTTCCTGGCTTGCTCTTCGGCTCTTTCTTTTTTAATTTTTTCTAGTTCTGCAAGAAGAGCTGCAGTATCATCGTCATCACTCTCCTCTTCAAAATCTTCATCTTCATCTTCCTCCTAAAAAAGAATGTGATGGCCCATTGAAGGGAAATTCACATTATGTTTTTCCTCCATAAAAATTGCCAGGTCTTTGGAGCAGGATTAATTTTCCCAGTGGGAGAGATAGATGCACCTAGATATTATTAAAATCAACAACTAAACCCACAAAAAAGCTTATGAAAACTCACTAAAATGTCAACCCCTGTTATGTTTTAGAGATTGCAACAACAAATAGTATAATAAAATACCTTTCAAATTTACATGGTCAAAGGGAGTTTAGACATAAAAATATTTCTAAAACTAGAAAGAAAACTTTACACTGATATACATAACACATATATACATAGTGTATCACCCTAAGAATCAAAAGTTTTATACAGCCTAAAAGTTAGACCTATTAGGATAACTGAAAGTACTAAAAGGGCAGTAACTTTTCAGAAGAAACCAATTTTAAATGAATAATCATTAGTCTCACCGAGTTCCCTATATTTACTGAATTATTTAATTCAATCTGTCTAGAATTGCTGATTTATGTGCTTAATCAGATGCTACTCATATAAGATCACTCAGATTTCACTGTAAGTAGAAAACTACAAATTAACTGTGGGTCCCATTGGATTTCCATGTCACTGAAGCACTAATCCTTAAGATTTCCCACTTAACTCACTTCCCTCCCTCAGCACAGAGGGAGCCAGTAAGTGACTGCACTCTGGAGGGGCATCAGCGGAATCTGATGTGGAAAGGCCCGAGTTCAACTTCAGGGGCTGCTATTGTCAGAGCGAGCGTCCAGTCTGAAGAGTGCCCTCTGGAGATTGATAACATGGCACCCCAAACTCTGTGGGTATATATAGGGAAATTATTTTTTTTAGTGAAGCATATTCTTTAATAAATCACTTCTGTATTTGGTTCTCCAGAGATAAAGTTTGATTAACCAGCAATACTTTGTTTTAAAATCAACTATAAAATTTAGCATTTGTATAACAGTTAAGTAAAAATAAGTACAGAGCATTTGTTAAAGTCAAAAGAATAAAAAAAAAAAATCAGAAAACATGACATAAATTACTAAGGAGAAGAAAGGAGGAAACAACATACATCTGTCAGAGGGTCATCTGCATCGAGGTTGGCAGCAGGAATCTGGTCTAGCCGAGGCTTCTTGGACACCGAAGAGGAGGTTGTATGTTCTGGGAAAGACAAACAACACTTAGCTCACTGAGACAAAGACTGCATTTCTTGTAACATTTTAGGCACCTGTGAGTACAAATAACTTAGATTATGTCTATCATGACACAGGATCAAAACCACAGTATCTGGCTTAAATAAGCCCCAGATAATAAATATTTGAAAAAATTAATGAAAGCATTGATTTTTAAAATTAATTTCTTTACTAATTAAGGTATCACATAGAAAGCATTAATTTTAATATGGGAACTATAACCTCTCTCAGGAAATTTAGAGAATAGTTTACATAAGCTGGAAACATATGCCCCTAGATGCCTTTCCAACAAAAAATGAGAGAACTTCATAGGCAGAAACCATGGGGCCTCAAAAAGTCTGGCTCTTATAAACAGTTTGATCTAAAATGAAAAAATGGCTACTAAATATCCCCAAGTCATCTTATTCCTTCTACAGAACCGTAAAAAAATGGAACTAGAATCAACTTTATTATCACCTCTAATCTAATCTAACCAAAACTGACCATATCATTTAATAGTCTTGCAACTTACACCAATATTTAAAAGCAAACAAACACAGCCCTAACTGGTTTGGTTCAGTGGATAGAGCATCAGCCTGCAGACTGAAAGGTCCCAGGTTCGATTCCGATCAAGGGCAAGTACCTTGGTTGTGGGCACATTCCCACTAGGGGGTGTGCAGGAGGCAGCTGATCGATGTTTCTCTCTCATTGATGTTTCTGATTCTCTATCCCTCTCCCTTCCTCTCTGTAAAAGATCAATAAAATATATTTAAAAAAATAAAAATAAAACAAACACACACAAACAGTAACCTACTCCAAATACCAAGTGAAAGAAAAAATATTGTCAACAACCTTATGAGACATATGTGTTGGTACCTCGAGTTGGACGATCTCTATTCTTTTCTCTTGCAGCAACTCTCTCTCTCTCTTCTAATTCTCTTCTGAAGTCACGGTTCCGAACCTCTTCAGGGGCATCCTGAGTGGTCTGTCTAAAGTAGAAACAAGGGGGGAGGGGCAATGTTAAAATATGTACACAGATTAATAATTTAATAAAAACAAAACAAAACAACAACAAAAAAACAAACAAAAAATAAAGTAGAAACAAACCAGGGCAAAAATGTTTCTAAAAAACATATGGCTGTAGCAATGGAAGATAATTCACAAAAAGCAACTTTGTCCTTGAGTCCCTCCAGCACAAAAGAAGGAATTGGACGAGATATTGCCCCAACCTGAGAGTTATTTATAGGCATCCACATGGTATTTGCAATATTTCAAGAATCCCAAAATGAATCACATATATTCCCATAATAAGGCTAGAGATCCATTAAAATGTCTTTATTTTTTTGTTAGTAGGTCAACTCAGGGAACATTACAATAACACTTCTATTCTCATATTGATTAGTACCGAGAGTGCATTGTCTCTCTGAAGTAATGTTATTATTTTTTCCATCTACCTAAGGATATTCTTGGTTAACAGGAATTTCTGCTTACAATCATAGCATATAATTTTAATGTTAGATATTCTATTTCAATCTATATAAAAATAGATTACTTAAGTGATATAACCCAAACATATTACTATCTCCATGACCATGCCACGTAACCCTCTTGCTTTGTGAACAAGAAGAAAATGAGTCTTCATTACCTATATTTTATCTTTGTATGAGAGGGTAGGTCTCTACTTGAATACTGCTTTGAGAGTTGGCTCAAATCACCTTCTCCTTTTCCTCTCCCGCCTCTCGCAGGTTCAAAAGTTGGCCGAGCTGCTGTTGTCATCTTTTATGCTTTGAAGACAAGTAATACCAAGTTTATTTCCCAAATGGCAAATTCTCATTTCTTAAAGTATTAATATCCATCCCTGTGAAGTAATTTCCGTAGCTCATTTTCCAAAACTTACTTAAATAACAGTTCTCAAGAAAACAAATAATGAGCCGAAACCGGTTTGGCTCAGTGGCAGAGCGTCGGTCTGTGGACTGAAAGGTCCCAGGTTCGATTCCCGTCTGGGGCATGTACCTTGGTTGCGGGCACATCCCCGGTGGGGTGTGTGCAAGAGGCAGCTAGTCGATGATTATCTCTCATCGACGTTTCTAGCTCTCTATCTCTCCCCCTTCCTCTCTGTAAAAAATCAATAAAATATATATTTTTTAAATCCTTAAAAAAAAGAAAGAAAACAAATAATGAGGCTCAGGGTGTACAAAGATTAAGGCTTCTTAGGTAACTTCTATTTAGTACAAAAAGTTCTGTCATGAAGATCTGAGTTTGTGTCCCTGTTCTTCTGCCTCTGTGGCCTTGAGCAAGTCACCAAGCTTAAGTTTCTGTCATCTGTGGAATGGGGGTATTCTTCGTAAGATTATTATGAGATCTGAGCGGCAAAGCCCTTGTAAAATGCAGTATTGCCACGACCTAGTTTTAAAAGTTCTCAACTCCACCAGATCCCTATGGCTCACATCTTATCTAAACCTCACACAACAGAAAACAGGCTAGAAAGTACAAAAGGAATATTTAAAACACACACACACACACACACACACACACACACACAAAAGGTAATTTAATCACTTCTTGTCCTGGATAAAGTGTGCTAAACCTCTGTAACAGTTACCACGGCCTAGGCGGTTTGGCTCAGTGACAGAGCCCCGGCCCTCGGACCAAAGGGTCCGGGTTCGATTCTGGCCAAGGAAGGTACCTCGGTTGCAGGTTCCTCCCCGGCCTGGGCCCTGGTCAGGGCTCCTCCGGGAGGCACCACATCGATGTGTTTCTCCCATATCAGTATATTTCTCCCTGTCTTGCCCTTACTCTTCCACTCTCTCTAAAAACAATGGGGAAAATGTCTTTGCATGAGTATTAAATAACAAAAACAAAGTTACCTGGGCAAAACTCTCCAGCCTTTTTGTTGATCCAACTTTTTCTTACAGCAGCCAATACAGTACAAGTCAGATATTTTGTAAGTTAAAATTTAAGGAATGCTCGAAAGACAGGAACCTCACCCCCAAAGGATGCTGATAAAATCAGGGACCCGGCCTTAAGCTACTTTTGGTTATGAACAGCCAAAATAACATTAAAATAACAATCCAAGTGGCTACTGAGACCCCGTTAAGCGTCGGAAAAGCTAGTGTGCGGGGGATGTGGGGGGAATTGGTACGTCTCTAGATTTTCAAAAAAAAAAAAGCGGGGGGGGGGGAAGGAATGTACGTGTCCAGTAGGGGAGAAACTATTTCCGGCCGCTGAGGGCGCCGCAGTCTCCCTCTCGCCCCGGGGTAACTATTCCCGTCTCCATTCGGGATGTCTGCAGGAACTCGCTGACTTCGCCCCGCCGACTGGGCGAGGGCTGGGGAGGCCCGGACCCCGCAGACCGCCGTCTGCAGTGCTGCCTCCGCGCTGCGCTCTCCGCGGCTCCCGGGACCCAAAGCAGCGCCCGCCGCCCCGGGGCCTCCTCCCACGTAGGGTCCTCCGCCCGCGATTCCGATTCCAACCGCCCTTTCCCGCTGCACTCGGATCAGAAAGACAGCCTGCTCTCGTCCCGCCTAGGATCTACCTTGGCCGGGGTCCCTCCGATTCGGCAGCCTCCCGGAGATCACCCAGACATCTTAATCGGCCCTTGGGCTCCCAGAATCCTTTGCATCCGGGGGTCACAGCCCAAGACCCGGAAGTGAACTCCGAGCCCTTTGGCCGCACTTCAGGGCGGAGGAAGCGACCAATCCGCAGGGGCCGAGGGGGAAGTCTGGGTGACGTCAGCGGGGGGCGGGGCTGAAACGGCCGAGGGGGCGGTCGTTTGAATTCGGTGCCTCCGAGCTGATCTTAAGCTATCATTTTTATACCTTCAGGAACCAATTACTTAATGTCTCTTCCGTCTTTTTCCTTCCCCGACCCCCTCCCAGACTCCTTCATTCCGGCACTGCGTGGACGGAAAGCCCCGGGTAGCCGACACCACGTCCCCGGCTAGCGAGAGGGAGCGTAGAGAAGGATTCCTCCCAACTGTTTAAATCCAACGGCTCCTGCTGCCTTTCTCCACAGCTAGACCCAGCCAGCCTAGAGAGTTGGGCTACGGAAAAAAACTAGTGTTTTCCTTTAATTGGATATGAAGAAAGAACAAATAAGTACGGGGGCAGCCACGATCTTTATAAAAGGTACCATTCCTGCAAAAAAAAAAAAATGTTAGCCTTCAAAGCAAAAAGGTTGTATTCGTGTTGTTTGCTAAAATAGTAAATATAATATATATTTTTAAAAACCTAAGTTCTAGCGGGAGGGCTGATGTCACGATTAGAGGTTCATTCATTTGTGAATTGGCTTCGGGCGTTTGGAACAGCGGGCCCAACTGCCAGGGGCACGAGCTGCGGCGGTAAGATGGCTCCTCGTGCAGGAGGTGAAGTTTGTAGTGAGACGGCAGTCAGGAGGGAATCAGTCGTCCTTTCCCTCTCTTCTCCCCCCCCCCTTCGACCCCCTCCCAAACACCCTGGGAGCAGGGCTCTTGTTTGCTTAGTTTATCATGCTGTCTCGTCACACAGAGTAGATGCTCAATAAATGATCTAAACAAATGAAAATTCAACTCAAATTTCTAATGTAAAGAGCTCATAAGATTGAATATTAAAATGTCTCCCTCCCCCCAAATCTTATTTGAAACTTTTTAAGTTGGGGGGGGGGGGGTGGAAAAAGTCCTTTCTTCATAAAGTTCAAAAAAATGTAAATATTGATTTTTCTTAACTGAAGGTATTTCTCCCCCCGTCTTCCTACACTTCTCCATAAGGGACAGCACCATCACACTAGTTACTCAACCCCCAATCTCTAGGCTCTTACTTAAAATCCCTTTGCACTCAACTCTTCACATCCAGTCCCTTAGCAAGTCTTGGCCAATGTAACTCTGCAAATATCCCCTAAGTTTTATTCCACTGTCACTGCCCTAGTCCAAGCCACTGTCATTTCCCACCTGGATTGTAACTGCCTCCTAGATGATCCTGCTTGCACTTTTGTTCACTACCTTCAGTTTTGCAGAGCCGTGAGAGCGATCTTTTAAAATTACGAATCGGGTAGTGGGTAGTGTTATCTCCTGCATAGAGATCCATTGCAGTTAGAACAACAATTAAAGTTTTGTGTGTTTTTTAATGTGGCCTGAGGACCCACCAGGCGTGGCCTGGCCTGCCTGTCGCCCTCACTTTTCTAATCAGTCACTATCTTCCACACTAAGGTCTAGCCACAGCCAAGTAGCAAACAAGGACAGATTTCTTTCCCTAGCTTTTCTCTGCTGCCTGTGCCCCAACCCAGCTGTTAGTATCCTTCAGTCTCAGGCCAAATGTCACTTCCTCAGTGAGGTTTTCCCTGGCATCTAACTTTGCATCCCAAATTGGCACACACATATACCACCACCTTACCCTGCTTTGTTTTTCCTGCTACTGAACCTGTTATTTGGGTATTGCTTTGTGTCTTGTCTGAGAGCCCGCATAGAAAAGTCATTAAAGGGAAAGAGAGCTAGCTATAGGCTGACTGGTTGGGTTTCTAAATTCCAGTTCTGTCCTTTCGTGGCTGTGTAATCTTAGGCAAGCTGTTTTTCCTTTCTGTGCCCTGTTTCCTCTTGTGTAAAATGGGAATAATTCTAGTTTGTACTTCATAAATGTTATTATAAGAACTAGGGATTTAATACTTGTAAAGCACGTAAACTGTCTCAGAAAACAGTACTTGTTAAATAAATGTTAGCCATTATTCTAATTAATATTATTTTTATTATTATTGTCTATCTTCCTGTATTAGAACATAAGTTCCAGGAAAGCAGGAACCTTGTCTCTCTTGTTCACTGGTGTATCCTCTGCATATAGAACAGTGCCTGGCAAATAATAGGTGCTGAGTAAGTATTTGTTGAATGAATGAATGATTGATGCACTATGAAGTGGAGGAATGAGTAACAATGGCAAGGTGGTGACACAATTACAGCAAATACCCCTTGCTTTTACATTCCAACTGCCCTTATCAGCCCCGAGCCCACCCCCCTTATTCACTTACCTACTAGCCTGCCACTTGATCTTTTCAACATCAACATATAATCAGTTCACAAAATTTAAAAGCTGTGACTTAAATGGTCTGAAAGTATTAATAAGGAAAAGAAACTAAACACTGTTTTTGTTTGTGATTTTAAAGTACTACTAAGAAAATGAAACTAGAAAGCCTTTGACTTAAATGGTTACTTGGATTCCATTTAGAAGTGAGATTAATGTGATACTTGTCTTTCTCTGACTGCCTTATTTTGCTTAGCAGCATATTCTTCAGATCTCTCCATGCTGGCTTAAAGGGTAAGAGATCCTTTTTTAAAATTTAAATATATTTTTATAGATTTCACAGAGGAAGGGATAGGGAGAGAGAGAAACATCAATGATGAAGGAGATACTTTTTTTTTTTAAATAATATATTTTATTGCTTTTTTTACAGAGAGAAAGAGATAGGGACAGAGAGTTAGAAACATCAATGAGAGAGAAATATCCATCAGCTGCCTCCTGCACGCCCCCTACTGGGGATGTGCCCACAACCAAGGTACATGTCCTTGACCGGAATCGAACCCGGGACCCCTCAGTCCGCAGGCCAACGCTCTGTCCACTGAGCCAAACTGGTTTCGGCAAGATCCTTTTTTACAGCTGTATGGTATTCCATGGTAAAAATGTACCACAGCTTTCTACCCACTCACCTACTGATGGGCACTTGGGGCTGTTTCCAGATCTTAGCTATTGGAGATAGTGCTGCTATGAACATAGGGGTGCATACATTCTTTCTGGTTGGTGTTTTGATATTCTTAGGATATATATTCTTGGAAGTGGGGTCACTGGGTAAACTAGCAGTTCCGTATTTAATTATTTGAGGAATCTCCACTTTGTTTTCTTTAGTGGCTGCATTCCCACTAGCAGTGCACTAAGGTTCCCTTTTCTCCACATCCTTGCCAGCACTTGTTGTTTGTTGATTTGTTGATGGTAGCCATTCTGACAGGTGTGAGATAATATCTCTCTGTTACTTTAATTTGCATCTCTCTGATGAGAAGTGATGTTGAGCAATTTTTTCATGTGTCCCTTAACCATCTGTATGTCCTCTTTGGAGAAGTGTCTATTTGGATCCTTTGCCCATTTTTTAATTGGATTGTTTGTCTTCCTTTTGTTTAGTTGTATAAGTTCTTTATATATTTTGCAAATTAACCCCTTATCAGATATATCATTGGCAAATATTGTTCTCCCAAACAGAAGGATTCTTTTTCATTATGTTGATGGATTCTTTTCATATAATCTCACTTATATGTGGAATCTAATGAACTGAGGAACAAAATAAATCCAGAGACGAAGCATGGAACAGACTGATGAATCTCTTAGGGAAGGGGGACGAGGGTGGACGGCAGGAAGAGATTAATCAAAAAAGAATGTATGTGCATATAAGCATAATTACAATAGTGTGATAGGCCTGGTGGGGGCAGGGGTAGGGTGGAAGAGGGCAATGGGGGGAAAAAAGGGACATCTGGCTCTGGCCTGTTTTGTTCAGTGGTTAGAGCTCGGGCCTACAGACCAAAGGGTCACAGGTTCCATTCCCCGGGCATGTACCTCCTGGGAAGGCAACCATTGATGTAATGTACATGTTTCTCTCTCTTCCCTTCCTTCCCTCCTTCCACTCTCTTCCTCCCTCCCCTCCTTCCCTTCCTCCCTTCTTCCCTCCTTCCCTCCATCCCTCTCTTCCTCCCTCCTTCTTTCTTCTCCCTCCCTTCCACTCTCTAGAAATCAATGGAAAAAATATCCTCAGGTGAAGATTTTTTTAAAAAAAGGGGAGGGATATCTATAATACTTTAACAATAAAGATAAATTAAAAAATAAATGGCTAATTAGAAAAAAAGATAAGTAAATTTATAAAAAAATTTAAAATTCACTTTATCAGCTACCTTTGCTGGCAAAAGAAAAAAATCATTTAACCTCTGAAGAATTCTCATTTTAAAACAATTACCACAAAAATCTTCTTTGGCCCTTAATTCAGCCTACTGGTCTTCTTACATCCCCCTAATTGTTTGTTTTCTCACTCTACAATAACATGACTCCTGCATTCCTCTCCCTCCTTAAATTTACATGAGTCTTTCACCCTCTTCCCCCTCCTCATCCTCTCTCCCAGGAGTAGATAACATTCTGCATTCTCTGGGAAAAGGAAAGCTCTTAAACAGGAGCTCCTCATCTGCTGTCCAGCTATCTTTTGCACTGCCTTTGACTGTGCCCACACCCCGCTTTCCACGTCTCAGGAGAGATGAGGTGACCCGGACCTTTACCCTTCTTTCCTGGATCCCAGTCTCTCTGGGTCCCACTGGCATCCTGCTAGATTTCCTATTGCATAATCTACTAATATATCCCCTTAAGAACATTCTTAGCAGCTTTTGGATATGGTGTAGTTTATCTTAACCTCAACAACTGCTCCTTCATTTTAATATGAGAATATTTTAATTTGATGTGAAAAGGATGTTTCTTTAAATAACTGTGGCAGTAAAACAGATTATTCTTACAGTAGGATGTAATGTAGTAATTCTAGCTACAAAGTGAATATAAATACTACATCCAGTTGAATTGAACACCCAAAAGGAAAACAAATAACCATAGAAATCTTAAGAAGAGCCAAAACCAGTTTGGCTCAGTGGATAGAGCGTCGACCTGCGGACTGAAAGGTCCCAGATTCGGTTCCGGTCAAGGGCATGTACCTTGGTTGCGGGCATGTCCCCAGTGGGGGGTGTGCAAGAGGCAGCTGATCAATGATTCTCTCTCATCGATGTTTCTAACTCTCTGTCCCTCTCTTCCTCTCTGTGAAAAATCAATAAAATATATTAAAAAAAAAAAAAGAAATCTTAAGAAAATTTAAAAGACTGTTTATACAATCTAGGTTTTGTAAAGAATTTCTGATCAAGGCAGAACATCTGAGAGCTATAAAAGAAATCATTTTAAAATTCATCTATATATACATGTAATTTTATGGCAGAAGATACCAAAAGCAAAATCAAAAGACAAATGCCAGATTAGCAGGTAAATTTTGCAATGTTTCTAACATATAAAGCGTTACAACTACCACTATTACTGCTAAGACACATAAGATAAAAAATACAAACAACCCAATAAAAAAATGAGTGATGAATATAAATAGGCCATTCAGAAAGAGCAATTCTAAATAGGTAATAAATGTGAAAGACACTAAATCTCCCCATTAAAAAAATGAAAGTAAACTAATAATTATCATATTACAGCATTATCTTGGCAACAAATTTTAAAAATATATACAGTTGGGCCTGGCTGCTGTGGCTCAGTGGTTGAGCATAGGCCCATGAACCAGGGGATCATGGGTTTGATTCCTGGTCAACGGCATAAGCCTGGGTTGTGTGCTCTATCCCCAGTTGGGGGCGGGCAGGAGGCAGCCAATCAATGATTCTCATCATTGATGGTTCTACCATTTTGTTTTTAATAAGTGATTGTTAATGTTAAGACATACTACACTATATCCAAAAAATATATTTTCTTAAATATATTTTTATTGATTTCAGAGAGGAAGGAAGAGGGAGAGAGAAAGAGAAACATCAATAATGAGAATCATTGATTGGCTGCCTCCTGCACACCCTGGGCATATGCCCTTAACTGGAATCAAACCCGGGACCCTTCAGTCCTCAGGCCAACACTTTATCCCTTGAGCCAAACTGGCTAGGACTTAAAAAAATGTAATATAGTTGTGGGGAGGAGAAAGAGGAGGGTATATGGGGGGGACAGAGTCTTGGGGTAGACAGATTCTTGGGGTGGTGATGGACAGAGTCTTGGGGTGGTGAACACAATACAGTGTACAGATGATGTATTGTGGAATTGTGACCTGAAATCTGTATGAATTTTGTTAACCAGTGTCACCCCAATAAATTCAATAAAAAGGAAAACACTGCTCTAAAAAATAAAATACAGTTAGATGGGGTTGGGAGAAAAGGGGATATAGTAAGACAATAGGGAAGCATTGACTCCATTTCCCTCACAGTAAAAGTTAAAGATGGGGCTTGGAGATCAACACTTCCCAGTGATACCAACAACAAGCAAGGCTTAACAACAAGACTGCACACCCATCCCACAAAGGGCTACACCAAGACTGTCCACCTCAGGTAACTGGGAGGTTGACTCACTGAACCATACAGGACACCTTAGCACACAAAGCCACCCTACCAACTCAGGGAAGCTGTGAAAATGCCAAGACAAGGAAATAGATCACAAACAAAAGAAATGGAGGAAAAGAAGAGACTGGATATAGAGTTCAAAACCACGCTTATAACGTTTTTCAAGAATTTTCTTGAAAAGGTCGATAAGACCTATGAGGAGATGAAAAGGGATCAACAAGAACTAATAAGGGATCAACAAGAACTAATAAAGGATCAACAAGAAATAATAAGGGATCAACAAGAAATAAAGAATACATTGTCTGAAATAAAAAATATTATACAGAGTCCTAAAAACAAAATGGAAAATCGCAAGAATCAAGTCAAAGATTTGGAACATAAAGAGCCAGAAGACACTCCTCTGCAGAAGCAAGAAGACAAGAGAATCCAGAAAGTTGAAGATAATGTAAGAAACCTCTGGGACAACTTCAAGCGAACCAACATCAGAATTATGGGGGTCCCAGAAGAAGAGAGAGAGCAAGATACCGAAAACGTACTGAAAGAAATAGTGACAGAAAACTTCCCCCACCTTGTGAAAGAATTAGACTTACAAGCCCAGGAAGCGCACAGAACTCCAAACAAAAGGAATCCAAAGAAGACCACGCTAAGACATAATTAAAATTCCAAGAGCAAAAGAAAAAGAGAGTATATTAAAAGCAGCAAGAGAA